AAAAAAGAAGCTTTTTGGCAAAACAGAATTAGTTTTAATCCTAGTTTTATAGGAAAATGGGAATAGTCTGCGGTGGCTTACTTCTTACATTGACAAGTTTACCCAACAACAGCACAAATGTTATGTTGCCTACCCCCAAATCCCAAGTCAAACATGGCCTCCAGACTCAGGCCCTATAAATTACATGGAGGGCCCAAAAAATTCTGATCCTACCCGAAAATTCCCATTCATAAAGAACGAGAATGATGAGGTACCGGACATCAAGCAACCTCTGTTCTCCATTTTCCCTCATACCTGTGATTGTTTAAATGCTTCAGTCACGATACGTCTGTCACGAAATACGTGACATGTCGCATGACGTGCTTCAAGTTGTTCTATAGAGTCGTCTTGACAAAACAAATTCTCCAACTGAGGGAAATGTGTAATTTAAGCACAGCCTATAGAATGCAAATATGGAGAGATCATTGCAAGATTGCATGGATCCTTTACATACGAAATCATGTAAAATTAGTCACACAACGCTTAATTAGTCATGCAACGCTTCCTCCTCATCTGGGGAAACGTCGCGTGACTGAAATTATTCCATAGCAGGACGAGGTCTGTCACTGCAGTATCACTGAATCTAATTCTTTTGCCAAAGAGTGGTGAAAAGTTTGCAATAATGATACAATCAATCTAGTCTAATTTTGCAGGTGATTCACACTCTATACTCTTTGTATTCTATAAAAGGCCGGGCGCATATACTTTCAGCATTCGTTCAACTTGGTTAAACGCTGTTTGTAGACGTACAGTGTCGAACGATGTTGGTAGGGTGCGCAAACGCTATCAATAGTTGCTTCGACATTTGTCCGATTCAGTGTTGAACAATGTTGAACGCGTTTGGGCGGTACAATGTACCAAAATATTACCAGAGAGCAATTCCTCGTTCTGGCGTATAATGACAGAATACCTGAAGCAATGCAGAAGTTGACTGACTGGGATACAACAAGGAAAGATGAAGAGCCGTGAAATAGTAACAGTTGGGCTTGAGAATATTGGAAAAGCATTTGTTTCCATGATGGATGGAGGAAACAACTTGTAATAGATGTGGTACTGCAGCGTAGTCACAATCACTTTACTTTCAGAAATTGACGAAACCCCAATGAATAGTCAAAGATGAAGTACAAATTTTCAATATTCTATATCATGAAGCGAACTCTTACTTGTCACCGTTTGGCCAACCTATTGTTGAAAGATGCAGAGAAACATATTTTGGCCACTAGTTCTCCTCTATATATTTCCTCTGTATAACAGTGTTACTGTAATTATCTTATAAGGTCGGATTGATTAATGGTAATCTCGGAATAAATCTTGAAAGGGTGCGTGCTTGTTGCGTACTTAACAGCTATATAGTGTACGCTGCTAATGTTCCGTATTATCTTCAGTATCAGAATCAGAGTATTAACGACCGCAAAATAATCTTTCGTATCATACTCAAGAAATATACCAGAATGTTTTGGGTCAAACGCTTTTATTGATGTCATTACATTTATTCAATGATTCATAAAAAATGAATAAACAAATATTTCATCCTGCTGTTTCAATGCAAACGGTTGAACAAATGATACAGTCCTTTAGTCGGTTGACCTCATGTAGATGTAAATCTCTTTGAACTTGTCAAAGCCGGCCAACACACCAGCTCCAGCCATTCCACGAAGGATGTTTGCTCCTGCACCTTTCATCAAGGACATGAAGCCTTCATTTTTGAGGATCTGTAGGGTGCAATCAATGGATCCCTTGTACTTGACTGCTTCACCAGATGTCATCATCATTCGTCTTCTGATGGTGTCAATTGGATATGATGCDAGTCCTGATGAAACTGTAACGGCGTATCCAAGGATGAATGACGTGACGACGCTGGCATCATCTCCAAGCAACAGAGGCTTTAAGGTGTCATATAAGCCAAAGTAGAATCCTCTGTATACAATAATGCCAACACAGGAGATGACAAAACCACGGTACAGACCGACAATACCATCACTCTTCAGAGTCTTAGTGTACACGTCAATCAAGCCATTGAACTGTCTTTCKCCTCCTCCTTTGCCGGATGATTTTGCATCATTAGCCAATCGCGTTCGTGCATAATCCAGTGAGTAGACAAACGTCAAGGACATGGCACCAGCG